AGGCAGGAGTTACTTGAGCCCACGTTCAAGGTTATAGTGAGGTAGTGTGATAATGCCACTGCACCCCAGCCTGGGTGACAGAAACTGTTCTTAAAAAAAAAAAAAGAAAAAAAAAAGAAAAGAAACCTTCCACAAGTGAATTTATATTCCATTTTAGAATGAGGACACAATGAAGGAGGCTGCTGCCTGCTCAAGGCTTCTAAAGCTTAAATGGCATTGTTGTAACCAGCTCTGCTAACAATTCATTACCCCTACAGTATATGAGGATTAGCAAGGTTATCTGCAAGTTCCTTTCCTGCTCTAAAATGTTATGGTTCATTTTCTTGACCCTTCCCTTAAGACTAGAATTAAAATATTGGTCAGGAATTTCTTAGGCAGCATGAGTTGGTCTGCCCATTTTCCTGTTAATGACATTAAAAAGGTATTGTTATAAATAAGACTTTCTGAAGAAGTGTTGTAGTACATTGTTAAAATACAAATTACTGAAAACAAGAAATCTAGTTATTTCGTAAAATTTAAGATTTTTCCAAAAAATTGTTAATTTTTTACCACTTCATTGTTAAATTTCAGAACTTTGGTAGCCTATGTGTGGAAGGGATGGTAGAATGAAATCATATATGCTCCCCTTCAGTTTGAGGTCCTGCTGATATCAAGGCACACAAAGTCCTTTGTCCTAAGTCCTCTTGTTTATCTACAGGCCCACTATGAGTTACCTGGTTAATATAAACCAATAGGGCCTGCCCCGAATAACAAAGACATTTTTATCACTGGGTAAATTCCAATGAATTAGAGGCCTCCTCCCAAAACCAGTCTCAAAGGCCAACCGAATTCTTTATTATACAATAGGATCCATAGTTTTCTTTGGATTCTCAACAGAGACTTTTATCCAGAAAAAGAATAAGGGATCATTGCCTTAGAACATCTCAGTATGGCAGTTTTTTCTTGATAGTGATGATCTATGTGTGCATTTTTTTTTTTTTGTGAACAGGCGTGTGTGCTGTGGCCCAGGCGTAGAGCGTGGGTGAGCGGGTGCCACGGGCGGTCAGCGCCTGTAGAGCTGCGCAGCCAGACCCGCGCGTCGAGAGACTGCTTGGGGGCGTCAAGGCGGATCGTCCGGTGCCTGTGCAGCCTCCGCAAGTGCTGGGGTACAGCGCTCCGCGCGATGAGCAGCGCCATGGCAGCTAATGTGGGTGGTCGCTATATATTAGTTGGCCCGCCAATTACTGTTTCTTGTGCACATAGTGCGGGTTATTTATAGTAGCAGACGGACACGTCTCACTATTGCCCTCAGGCTTGGTTTTCAAACTCCTGAGCTCGGCAATCGACCCGCTCAGCGTCCCAGAGTGCTGGGATTACAGGCGTGAGGCCACCGTGCCAGGGCCGTATGTGTCGGCATTTATGCCCAGCCTATGTGTGCATTTTAATGAACTAAACTTTTTTACATGTCTTTAATTCTTAACATGTCACACACTTCACAACCTCGTCCTCTATTTTAAGTAATCTTCTTCCAATTCAGAAGCGCCAACTGATCAAGCTTACAAAGCATTTTGGTATTCTTCAATTGATTCATCGAAGTGTTTTCTCTGATGGAATGGTGAACTCTTGTGTAGTAAGGAGGGAGAAGGAGTCCTTAAACTTTTAACACCAAAGACATATTAAATCAAAATGAGTGAAAACATGTTCTCTTACAACATTGATCTTAATATGGTATTGTTGTATTTTCAGGAAGCTACTAAAGTTCCTGGGGAAGAAAAGTAGAATTTCCTAAGAACATAATGGGTAAGTTCTATAAAGATAATTTTGTGTTTCAGCTAGTATAAGCTGGTTTTTCTTCTCAAGCAAAGATAGACCTTCAAAATCAGTAAATCCAGGCCACATGTGTTGGCTCACACCTGTAATCTTAGCACTTGAGAGGCTAAGACAGGAGGATCCCTTGAGGTCAGGAGTTTGAGACCAGCCTCAGCAAGAGCAAGATGCCATCTCTACTAAAAATAGAAAGAAATTAGTCAGGCAACTAAAAATATACAGAAAAAAATTAGCTGGGCATGGTGGCGCATGCCTGTAGTCCCAGCTACTCAGGAGGCTGAGGCAGAAGGATTGCCTGAGCCCAGGAGTTTGAGGTTGCTGTGAGCTAGGCTGACGCCACGGCACTCTAGCCCAGGAAACAGAGTGAGACTCTGACTCAAAAAAAAAAAAAATTCTTTCTATTTTTTTAGTAGAGACAGGGTCTCTGCTCTTGCTCAAAGTTTAATACATTATATGATTAAAAAATCATTTTACTACTTTATTTTAGATGGAGAAGAGAAAACCTATGGTGGCTGTGAAGGCCCTGATGCCATGTATGTCAAATTGATATCTTCTGATGGTCATGAATTTATTGTAAAAAGAGAACATGCGTTAACATCGGGAACAATAAAAGCCATGTTGAGTGGTCCAGGTAAGTACAGTTCTTTCTTTTTCTTCATATTTTTTACTTCTGATATTGATAAATGTGTTTTTAGTTGAACTAAATGACTCAGCATTTCAAGAGAGGCAATAATTCTTATAACATAATTGCATGTTTATGTTGCATTAAAAAAAAATTAGTTTCTGCCAATTTCTGTTTTCTGTTGCCCTACAAGTTTCAATAAGACTGAACTGATGATTTTATAATAGGAAGGTTTGTTTCCCTATGTTAGTTTCCATGGTCAACTTCTTAGCTACAGACTCTAATTAATTGGGGATTTGTGTTCCTAGTTAGATACAAAGTTTATCTGTCAACGTTAATACCTCCCAAATTTCTATTCTTAACATTTTTTTCTTGAAATAAAATAAATTCAGTAAACTTATGTGAATAAATACTGTTTTAAAGTGTATAATTCAGTGACCTTTACTACTTTTACAACATTTTGCAACTGTCACCTCTGTTTAGTTCCAAAACATTTTTATTACTCCAAAAGTAAACCCCATACCCATTAAACTGTCACTGCCTATTCCCATTCTCTACTCCCAGTGTTTGACAACTACCAGTGTGCTTTCTGGTTTGCCTATTCTGAGCATTTCATATAAATGGAGTCAAGGGCTGGGTGCAGTGGCTTGCACCTATAATACCAGCACTTTGGGAGCCCAAGGCAAGAGGGTTGATTGAGCCCACGAGTTCAAGACCAGTCTGGGTAACATAGCAAGACCCTGTCACTACAAAAATAAAAAATAGCCATTTGTGGTGCTTACCTGCAGTCCTAGCTACTCTGGAGGCTGACACAGGAACTTGAGCCCAGGAATTCAAGGTTGCAATAAACTATGATCACACCACTGCACTCCAGCCTGGGTAATGGAGTGAGACCCTGTCTCTACAAAACTAAATAAATAAATGGAATCGTGTAATATGTTGCCTTTTGTGTCTGGCTTTTGTTACCAGGCACAGTGTGTTCAAGGTTTATCTATACAGTAGCACGTATAATACTTAATTCCTTTTTATGGCTGAATAATATTCCATTGTGTGATTATACTACTTTTTTTGAGACAGTCTTGCTCTGTCATCCAGGCTAGAGTGCCATGGTATCAGCCTAGCTCACAGTCACATCAAACTCCTGGGCTCAAGCAATCCTCCTGTCTCAGCCTCCTGAGTATCTGGGACTACTGGCATGTGCCACCACACCCGGCTAGTTTTTTCTACCTTTTAGTAGAGATGGGGTCTTGCTCTTGCTCAGGCTGGTCTCAAACTCCTGACCTTAAGCGAGTACATATGAATTGTATATATTCATAGGGTACATGTGATGGTTTGATACAGGCATACAATGTCTTATTAATCAAATCAGGGTAATGGGAGTATCCATCACCTTGTGCATTTGAATATACCACATTTTGTCGATTTCTTCATCAACTGATGAATATTTGTGTTGTTTCTACCTTTTGGCTACCATGAATAGTGCTGCTTGAAACATTTGTATACAAATACTTATTTGAATACCTGCTTTTCAGTTCTTTTGGGTTACCTCCCTGGGCATTAAATTGCTTGATCATGTGATAACTCTGTTAAACTTTTGGAGGAACCAACAAACTTTCCATAGCAGCTGAATTATTTTATATTCCTACCAACAGTGTCCTAGGGTTCCTGCTTTTACACATCCTGGCCAATATTTATTGTTGTCTGTCTTTTTGAATATAGCCATCCTAGTCGGTGTGAAGTGGTACCTGGCATTTTTGATTTGCATTTATTTAACGACTAATTGAACATCATTTCATGTGTTTGGCCATTTGTTTATCTTCTTTGGAGAACCTTCTGTTCAAGTCTTTAGCTATTTTTGAATTGGGTGGTTTGTCTTTTTGTTGTTGAGTTATAAGAGTTTATTATTAATTCTCAATACTATACTCGTATCAGATACATGATTTACAAATGTTTTTCTCCTGATCCATAGGTTGTCTTTTCCTTGATGGTGTTATTTGAAGCACAAAAATCTTTAATTTTGATGAAATGTGATTTGTTTTTTTTCTTTTGTTTTTATGTCATATATAAGAATCCATTGCCAAATCAAGCCTCATGGAGATTTCATAAACTTAGAGTCTCTCTCTTTTTTTTTTTTTTCTATTAATAGAAGTTTTATGGGTTTAGCTCTTACATTTAGGCCTTTGGTTTTAAGTTAATTTTTGTATATACTCTGAGGTAAGGGACCACCTTTCTTCTTTTACACGTGGATATCCCACTATCATTAGTTGAAGAGACCATTCTTTCTCCTATAAATGGTCTTGGCACCCTTGTTGAAAGTCATTTGACCATAAATGTGTGTATTTATTTCTGGGATCTCAATTCTATTCTTTTGATCTATATGTCTATTCTTAATGCCAGTACCACACTGTTTTGATGACTAGTGTAGTAAGTTTTGAAATTGGGAAGTTTGAAGCCTCCAACTTTGCTTTTCTATTTCAAGATTGTTTGGCTATTTGGGGTCCTTTGGAATTCCTCTTTTATGTTTTTTTACTGTAGAGAGTTTAAAACATACACAGAAATAGAGTGTGGAATACACCTCCATGTACCCACCAACCAGCTTTCAGTAGTAAACATTTTGCCAATTTTACCCTATTTCAGTATCTCTGAATTTCAAGCACATTCCTGACTGTTCCATTTCACAGAATGTTGCTTTGCTGCCTGGCCTAGAGTGCAGTGGCATCATCATAGCTCACTACAACTTCAAACTCCTGGGCTCAAGCAATCCTCCTGCCTCATCCTTCTGAGTAGTTGGGATAACAGGCACGCGCCACCACACCCAGCTAGATGTCTGCATTTCATATCAAATTAATATTTTATCCTATAAACTCATAGTTACAATTCTAGAGACTTGATTGGACTCTGTATTATTTTTCTAGGCAAGGATACTTTATAAGTTCTACTATTGTATTCCTATTGTATCACATCTTTTAGTGGTGTCAAGATTGATCAGAGTTCCAGGATTGTAAGGCTGATTTCATCCATAAAAAGTTCCCCATGCTGACTTATTATTTATTGTGATTATTGCTGAGATTTACTTTATTCGGGATTACAAAACAGTGATTTTCTAATTCTGTAATTTCTTCTGCATTTATTAGCTAGAATTCTCATACAAGGAACTATTAGGTTACCTTGAAATACAGTCTGTGGGCCCTGTGTGGTGGCTCATGCCTGTAATCCTAGCACTCTGGGAGGCCGAGGTGGGAGGATCTCTCTTAAGTTCGGGAGTGCACGACCAGCCTGAGCCAAGAGCAAGACCCTGTTTCTACTAAAAATAGAAAAATTAGCTGGGCATGGTGTGTACCTGTGTGTCCTAGCTACACAGTCTTAATAGGGAAAACAAGATAGTCTACAGCCATACCACCCTGAACATGGACGATCTCAGGTGATCTCAGAGGCTAAGCAGGGTCGGGCCTGGTTGATAACTTGGATGGAAGGAAAAACCAGATAAATGCTTAGTTTTTGCCTTTATATAATAATTTTTCAGAGTAATGAATTGATTCACAAGCATCTTCCAATAGTAAAGAGTGTTTGTTTTTATTTTTGAGAGTTTACGTATCATTATGAACTCATGACTTTTTTATATTTGATGCTTTTGAGTCTGTTGCAATCATTCTTACTGATACTCAAGTTGCTCCATTTGTTCCATTTTTATTCCAGAAGGACCCACATTGGATTGGCTCCTATGTCCTTTTGACATGGCTCTATTGGTCTCGAATAGCTATATTACTTTTTGTAATAAGATTTCTCAGCTTTCCATACAGTATTCCCCAATCCTAAAAACAGCTGTTTTTCCAAAGCGGCCTGTTTTCTTTTAGTACAAAATGTCATTTAGGGATCTCAGTCTGAGTCCTAGAGATAACACATTGCTCTCGCGTTGGATTGCTTTTGGGCTTTTCTGCTGGACAGCACTAGGAAGTATTTTAGGTGGAGAATAATCACAGATGCCAACAATTTTAATTAAAAGTTAAGATTAAAGGACTTTTGGTTTTTTGTAAATTTGATCTCCTTTAATTTAAATAAAGAATTATCTTTGAAGAATTATCTTTGAAGAATCATAAAAACATTCAGCCCAAAGCTAATGTTTGCATAGAAAAGAATGAAGTACTGATACATGCTACAGTGTGGATGCACCTCCAAAGCTTGCTAAGTGAAAAAACATGTGACAGAAGGTCACATGTTTATGATTCCATTTATTGAAATATCCAGAATAAAGACAGAAAGCAGATTGGTGTTTGCCAGAGACTGGAGGATGGAGTAAGTGGAAATAACTGCTTAATAGCTACAGGGTTTTATTTGGAGTGATGAAAATGTTTTGGAACTAGATAGAGGGGTAGTTGCACAACATTGTGAGAGTACAAATGCCACTGCACTGTATACTTTAAAATGGTTAATTTTATGTGACTCTTACCTCAAAAAAACACTAATTTTTATGTAGTATCAAAGGCTTAAGCGCCTGTTGGTAATATTTCTTACATATATTCAAGAAAGGGAGTTTTATTATTAGCAAACCAAAATGTACCCCATTGTTGTGAATTACTGCTGAGTCCTGTTCTCCTCCTTTCTCCCTAGGCCACCACAGGGAGTTATTAGAAAACTTTAAAAATACTGCATTCTCAGAGAGTATTTTTTAGGTATAAAATGCCTTTTGTATTTAGTGCACAGTGCTGTGCCAGACTGCTAAGAAAACCTTTTGTCCCATCTGGGCATGGCTGCATGCACCTCTACTCCCAGCTGCTCAGGAGGCTGAGATGGAAGGATCACTTAAGCCCAGGAGTTCAAGGCTGCAGTGAGCTATGATCCTGCCATTATATTTCAGCCTGGGTAACAGAGTGATGATAATTGTCTCTTAAAAAAAAGAAAAAGAAAAGAAAGAAAAAATAGTTTGTCACTACAAATAAATGCTAAATGATTTAACATTTACGTGGCTACAGAAATTTTGAGGAATCACTGAAAAACTTTATGAAGTGTTATTAAAGGGAAATGACTTATGAAGAGATCCCATTAACACTATCATATTTTTAAAAACTTAAGGAGGATACAATGAATTTCCTTTCCTGAAAGATTTCTCTTAAATAGTATTTTTCTTATTTTATGCTTTATATATTCAGCACACTGCCAGAAAAGCCAAATCATAAAATTTGTTATTTGTGCTAACTTTATTTTTACATGGCAATTCAATACAGCACATGGCTCCATAAAGACTTGATTCCCTGCACTGAACCTTCTAATAGAATGATTTAGCTTTTTCTATCCCTGCTCACCCTTCAGTAATCATGCCACCAAGGATTCTTAGGAAAAGCTATTTAAGTGTCCCAACCCATAGGGATAGAATTAGAATTTTAAAATTCAGTCTTGATGAATCTCAAATGCTATCTAATAATTTTTATGTTGTTGATACTCAAAAATCAGAATTAGAGAATTCATTTGATGCTAATTGGGATTATTCTTTTAACATTTATTGGTTTGCTGGGACAGCCAAACCACAGAACTTTATTTTTTCACAATTCTAGAGGGTAGAAGTTGAAGATTAAGGTTTTGGCAAAGTTGCTTTCTTCTGAGGCCTCTGTCTTGGCATGTAGATGGCCATCTTCTCCCTGTGTCTTCACATGGTCTTCCCTCCATCCCTGTCTGTGTCCTAATCTGTTCTACTTACAAGGACAACCAGTCAAATTTGATTGGCACCCTCATGACCTCATTTTAACTTAATTATACTTCTTTAAAGATCCTATCTCCAAACACAGTCACATTCTAAGAACCTAGGGGTTAAGACTGCAATATACGTATTTTGGGGGGACACGATTCAACCCATAACATCATAATTCTTTTGTTTTACAGGTCAGTTTGCTGAGAATGAAACCAATGAGGTCAATTTTAGAGAGATCCCTTCACATGTGCTATCAAAAGTATGCATGTATTTTACCTACAAGGTTCGCTACACTAACAGCTCCACGGAGATTCCTGAATTCCCAATTGCACCTGAAATTGCACTGGAACTGCTCATGGCTGCGAACTTCCTAGATTGTTAAATAAAATAAATTATAATAATAAACTGTTAATTTTTTCAGTATTTAATACCTGTAGTTCAGTTAGTAATTTTTTCCTATATAGCATGTTGCCTGTATGCAATTGAACTATAAAGTTCATTGTAAAGCAGATTATCTTCTGTTTTTTGCATAGCAATCAGGGTTGAAATTTGTTTGCTACATCAACAAATTAAGGACATTTTCACAAACAGAAATAAACAAATATGCCAATTCGTAGGTGGTTTTTCCTTATCCTTTGGATGTGACTTTTAAAAGTAGAGCAATGATGATACAGTAAATTTTGAAATTTAGACATAAATGAACACATACTACAGGTAAATAATGGGGCTAAGTATTTTTATGTTTTTAGTGTTTTTTAAAAAACCTATTCTGATCATATGGCCGCTCTTAGCATTACTAGAATTATGCAAATAATTGCATTATAAACATATTTATAACTTAGCCAAAACATTGATTTTTATAACTCTTCAAGAATAAGAGTTGAAATTTCTTATGTCTTTTGATAAACTGCAGTATTGTTTAAGTGTATCTTGTCATTTTGTTTATTGCTACAATTTAAGAACTTTATTTAAAAGCAATTTTGGAAGGTTACTAGGTACAGCTTATGAAGCAGTAACTGAACCGTAGCCGAATGGTCAACAAGTAAACTACATGACTTAGACTGCTTGTGCATTGTGCATTTTGGACAATTCAAAGTACTGTATTTTCATTGACTATAAAGCTTCCTTTGCAATTTTCATTCTTTATAGTCCCTTGTTGTGATTACACTTCTAATTGTTTAAATGTGTTTTAAAAGACTCACTATGAACTTTATCTAGATCTTAAATGCTAGGTTTTTCTGAAATGTTCCAGTCTTCCTCCATCCAAGTGGGATGTTATAAAATGTAGAGAGAAACAGTGAAAGTCTTATAATGTACTTACAGTACATGAATTATCTTCTATTAATTAAAGTATGTCCAAATAAATATACCCATAATTAGAGGATCTTCTACTGAAATCATACAAGGAAATTATTCAGCTTTTATATTAAACAGGCAAAAAAAGTTTGAAAAACTATGACAGAGCGTCTCTGCATAGGCATGGGAAAAGCAGCACTGGAGATGGGGTATTGTCTGTATCTTAGTAGTAGAACAAAGTTGTCATTTTATGTTCTATAAATTTAAGACTTCAGTTTATTTCTTCTTTAAGACTGGCTTAATATGGACTAGCTCTTCTGAAAACTACAAAAACCATAAATAAAAGTAATTTTTCCTCATAGAATACCTAAACATTGTACTTTTCAGCTTATTGAATGCAGTTAAATATAAATTGCATACTTTTAGTAACTTCTTCAGATATGCTGGTACATATTTTAGTATAGAAGATTATCAAGTATGAGAATTCTGCCACTTGGTGACAAATAATGCCAATTATAAACCTAAATGGTGATTTCAAAGTCAAGGTGATATCTAGAAATAAAGTTTAACTTTGACCAGGTTTTTTATTGTTTATAACTATTCTTTCTGTGGCATTGACCAGCTTTTATAGGTTACTTTGTGTTAGATCCACAAGTAACCTTAAATTTAAGACATTAAAATAAAACTTAGAGGCTGGGTGCGGTGGGTCATGCCTGTAATCCTAGCACTCTGGGAGGCCTAGGCGGGCTGATCGCTCAAGGTCAGGAATTCGAAACCAGCCTGAGCAAGAGCGAGAGCCCGTCTCTACTAAAAATAGAAATAAATTAATTGGCCAACTAAAAATATATAGAAAAAATTAGCCGGGCATGGTGGCGCATGCCTGTAGTCCCAGTTATTAGGGAGGCTGAGGCAGGAGGATTGCTTGAGCCCAGGAGTTTGAGGTTGCTGTGAGCTAGTCTGACACCATGACACTCTATGCCGGGCAACAGTGAGACTCTGTCTCAAAAAAATAAAATAAAATAAAATAAAACTGAAACAAAGGTTAGGTAAACCTGTATATCTTGAAGCAAATGATACTTGCATGTTAATAAAGGCTGTATTGATTGAAAGGTATGATGAACACTTGGTGTTTGATCTTTTTAGCCTTAATTTTCTTTTTTTGAGGATTCATTAAACCGTTTGCTTCAGGACATTTTGCCATAGATTTAATATTGGGAACTTCTATTTGGTTAAATTTAAGATCATTATATAGCATTGAAATCTTGCCGGGTGTGACGGTTTATCCCTGTAATCCTAGCACTTTGGGAGGCTGAAGTCGAAGATGGCTTGAGGCCTGGAGCTCGAGACCAGCTTGGGCAATGTAGTGAGACGCTGTCTCTACAAAAAAAATTTTTTTAAAAAAACTATCATTGAGCTTCCTGGATGTGTCAAAAAAATTAACCTGGTGTGGTGGTGTGCACCTGTTGCTCCAGCTACTCCGAAGGCTGAGGCAGGAGGAACACTTAAGCCTAGGAGTTTGAGGTTACAATGGGCTAAGATTATGTCACTGTACTGTAGCTGGGACAATAGAGCAAGACCCTGTCCCCCCAAAAAAGAAAACTTAATGGTTTTCTGACACTTGGTAGTTGGCTCACTTTTCAAATTATGTGCACATCTCCCCAATATATTTTTTCTTCATAGAAAATATTACTACAAAATCCCTTTCAACTTAATATTTCACTTTTGTACTGTCTAAATTATGCTTTTTTAGATTGCTTATCTTTCATGCAGTTAGTATCAACAGATAACGATCTCCCTAATTTTAAAGATATTTGAGAAATAGGCCTGGCATGGTGGCTAACACCTGTACTCCTAGCACTCTGGGAGGCCAAGGCGGGAGGATTGCTTGAGGTCAGGAATTCGAGACCAGCCTGAGCAGAGAAAGACCCCGTCTCTACAAAAAATAAAAATTCTCTGGACAACTAAACAAAAAAAAATACATATATATCCAAAAAATTAGCCGGACATGATGACACATGTCTGTAGACCCAGCTACTCTGGAGGCTGAGGCAGAAGGATTCCTCGAGCCCAGGAGTTTGAGGTTGCTGTGAGCTAGGCTGATGCCATGGCACTCTAGCCCGGGCAATAGAGCCAGACTGTCTCAAAAAATATATTTGAGAAATAGAATTTATTATAGGCAGTAAATTCAGCTCATGCTAACAAATACATCGTGCTATGCATGGAGCTGTCATCTTAGTGTGAGTCACTTTTCTAATTATTAATTATTACCAATTATTCTTTGAAAATAGTGCACTTTCTGAGAAATAAAATTACTGTTTAAGATTGAAGCGTGTTTAAGTCAAGTAATTCCTGTCTATATAGAGGAAATTTCGTTAAAATTAACAAAGCTTTAATGTCTCCAGATTTAGCAGTGAGCCTCGTATTGGCTGTATCTAAATTTGATAAAACACTTAAGGTCTGGGAATCAGAAGATGCCATCAATCTTTTATGTATTGTGTTTTATTTACAATATATAAATCTGGATTAATTACAGGCCAGTCATATGTGCTAAGATTTTATATTCCTGTTAGGCTAAACTCTTTAAATATTATGCCTCATGATGGTTTGTGGGTTTAAAGAAATATTAGCCTAGAAGTATTTTGGTATATTAAATGGAGCACCAAACCTGGGAGTTAGAAAGTTTAGGGTCTTGTGCTAATTAGCCATGTGACCTTGAAAAAGTCCCTGGGCCTCCATTTCACATCTGTACAATTAGGAGGTTGCACATTTATAGGTTAAAGTTTACTACCTTATTTTTTTAATGAAGGAGATTATCGATGTTGTTTAAACCCAAGGTTGTAACATTACAAATGATCAGCTTGAAAGATTTATGAACTAGAGAGAAAATGGGTTTGTTTTTTTTTTTTTTTTGCTGCTTCTGGATTAGGCATTAAATATCACACTTCAGTACTAAATATATTTAACTAGATGAATGTAGAATCTTTATAGCTTTTTATTGCCTGCTATATAGAGAAAGTCTGGTGTTAGCTCTGGTTATTTATTGCTGATATAAAGGGAAATTTATGTGATGTGATTTCATACCTGTATATTTAATGCCATGTTAACCTGAAACTCATTTTTCATTCATGCACTAATTTAGTAACACCCTGAACTAGGTACATGTATGATTTCTTTATCTGCTTCATGTATCTCTAGCTGAAACCAAAGACTAATTTTTAATGCCCTATAGAATATTCATTTTACACCATCCATATTCTAGTTTGGTTTCTTCACCCCTAAGTTTTTTTTTTTGTTTTTTTTTTGAGACAGAGTCTCACTTTGTTGCCCAGGCTAGAATGAGTGCCATGGCATCAGCCTAGTTCACAGCAACCTCAAACTCCTGGGCTCAAGCAATCCTACTGCCTCAGCCTCCTGAGTAGCTGGGACTACAGGCATGCGCCACCATGCCCAGCTAATTTTTTCTATATATATTTTTAGTTGGTCAATTAATTTCTTCCTATTTTTAATGGGGTCTTGCTCAGGCTGGTTTTGAACTCCTGACCTTGAGCAATCCGCCCGCCTCGGCCTCCCAAGAGCTAGGATTACAGGCGTGAGCCACAGCGCCCGGCCACCCCTAAGTTTTTGAAAGTGGGTGTTCTTTCTTTGGTTTTTTTGTTGTTGTTGTTGTTGTTGTTGTTTTGTGAAAGAATCTCACTATGTTGCCCAGGCTGGAATGCAGTGGTTATTCACAGGCATGATCATAGCACACTGTAACCTGGAACTCTTGGCCTCAAGCGATTGTCACGCCTCAGCCCTAGTAGCTGGGACTATAGATGCATGAAGTTGCTTTGAGATAGACTTCATGGTCTTAATCATCAAATTGTTGTATAAATTTTGTTTGTTTGTTTGTTTGTTTGTTTGGTTTTTTTTGAGACAGAGTCTCACTCTTTTGCCCGGGCTAGAGTGCCGTGGCGTCAACCTAGCTCACAGCAACGTCAAACTCCTGGGTTTAAGCAATCCTGCCTCAGCCTCTGGAGTAGCTGAGACTACAGGTATGCACCACCATGCCCAGCTAATTTTTCCTATATATTTTTAGTTGTCCAGATCATTTCTTTCTATTTTTAGTAGAGACAGGGTCTCACTCTAGCTCAGGCTGGTCTTGAACTCCTGAGTGCTAGGATTACAGGCTATATGCTAAAATCTTTATTTAATATAGGCTCTATTGCTTCATTATTTAGAAAAGTGTGTATAAAATAACAGATTAGGGACAGGTGTGGTGGCTCATGCCTGTAATCCTAGCACTCTGGAAGGCTGAGGCGGGCGGATTGCCCGAGGTGCGGAGTTCAAAACCAGCCTGAGCGAGATCCCATCTCTACTAAAAATAGAAAGAAATTAATTGACCAACTAAAAATATATATAGAAAAAATTAGCCGGGCATAGTGGCACATGCCTGTAGTCCCAGTTACTCGGGAGCCTGAGGCAGTAGGATTGCTTGAGCCCAGGAGTTTGAGGTTGCTGTGAGCTAGGCTGATGCCACGGCACTCACTAGCCTGGGCAACAAAGTGAAACTCTGTCTCAAAAAATAAATAAATAACAGGATAAGAAAAATTCATATTTGGTGACTTTTTTTATCTAAAATCTTTTCATTAGAGCCTCTTTTTACATCATGAAATAAAGCTGGTGGCTAATTCTGCCTACACATACCAACCGGCCCAGACCCACTGCTATAGTTTTGGGTTTTTTTTATACATCAATAGGATTTTAACTATAGGCATATTAAATTTTGGTACAGACTTACCAAGTATATTTTACTTTTCAGTCAGTGTAGTGTCATTTCTGCTCTAGAAAACTGCAAGAAG